AGTTATTACAGCATATAAAGCAAGGATACTCTACCAGGGAAGAATTCCCTCAGGGGGAAAATTTCAAAGTTTCAAGGAAGAAATGTAGTCAATAATTTACTTAAATGTTAAATATTTTGTTTTAGCTTATAAATATATATATAACTATTACTTCTATTCAAATTAGGGTATTTATCAACATTCTCTATAATTTATCTTGTTTAATTTATAAAGCATATTAAAAATAATCTAAATTTAAATAAATGTATATATGTTATTTGGATTTTGGAAAAGAATGGAGATTGTCCAACAATGGTGAAAGGCATGCATGGGGAAGCATTTCCGCACAGAACCCGGTAAATGTAAACATCGCCAACTTTGGCGATAATAGTCCAAACCTGGTAACCCAGCAGATTTATCCTATTCGCTTGTTCGAAGTTTGTAATCATTCCTCTTGCGTTCATTTTGTTGAATTATCACTGTCGATGTTCGCATTTGCAGATTTATATTGTTTTTGGTAAAATCCTAGTATACGGTGCAGCCTTGACGCGACTTTGAAAATTATCGCCAACACCAAAAAAGAACGTCTATATGTATATACTATATTTTCTATGAATGACCCGTTAACTACTCATCGTATATGTCCCGTTTTTACTGCTCATCATAAAGTCGCCAAAAGTAGCCAAATCCCGTGTGCACCGGATACTAGGATTAAACCTTGTTTTTTTCTTATTTATTATTATTTTTTTCTGAATTTTATAGAACGAATAGATAGAAATATTTTCGTAGACACATGCCGGTTCTCGGTTCGGGATGAAAGGAAAATACGGCGGGAGGGGTGAATGCTAATTTGTAACACGGCTGCTCACGTTGTGTTCTTAATTATTAACAGCTCGCAAAACCATGACGTTTCCAACTTCTAAAATAATTTGTTTCCGTAGGTAGCAAAAATGTTCATGTGCATTTTAAATAATTTAGTAATGCTTTTATTTTTATTATTGGTTATTGTCATCTAAAATTATGAGAATAAATCAATTTTTATGGCGTAAAATTTTAACAAGATAATAGATCGGAACAGCTTTAGTATTGGTCCTTTTGGCGATTTTTTTATTTAGCGACAAACTTCGGTCGCCAAGGTAGACCCGGTTTTGAAGATCGGAAAAAAATGGCGGATTGTCAACAAAACCCGATCTAGACTAAATAACAATCCTAAAAAATAAGCTCTTAATCAGAATAAACAGTCTTTCTCTAATTTTCAATATTTCAAGTACTGCTATGATAAATTCTTGAAACACTACTGTAAATGAATTTATGACAATTATTATGTTATGAGTAATGAAATTTACAAAATGTTAATATTTTTAATTACAAAATATAATGTATTAACATTAATATTTTAAGTAGTTAGTTTTCATATTTATATTTTTTATATTAGTACTTAGCTAATATTTTAAATTTACAAAAGGTTTAATTTTTATGTTTATGAATAATGAATTTTACAAAAGGTTTAAAAAATGCATTTCAAACTAGTATATGTTACTTTAGTTTCTAGATGCTGTTATTAAAAGAAAATAAAAAAATATTTCAAACTGAAGGAAATCAAATTCAATTATAATGGGCAAGTTTTGTACCAGTGTTAGAAATATTTTTTATGATTAAATTTTGTAAATGGTAAAAATATTAAGAAGTGCTCATTTTTTAATCCCTCAATTTATTACAAGTAATTTATGATTACAATTTAAAAGCTAAAATTAAATTATCATAATGAGTAAATTTTGTACCAATGGTAATAATACAACAATCATCGTAAATGATAATTTCTGTGAAAAATTCGAACAGTCATTGGAATCCACTAGTGGTGGAGTGATAGCCACTGAACAGTGGTAGTTCAGGCTGGCTATATGGGAGTTTTAGTAGTTTTCCGTAGATGTAATGTGAATCTGAGCCAGTTTCTCTTAAAAAGTACTTTATGAAGGCATCCTTCTTCTGCTAGCCAGCAGATGTATTTATTTTCTATTCATAATTCTCTCTTATTTTCTTATTTCTTTATTCTAAATCTTACTTCTGAAGAGAAGAAGAGTTGCATCTATAGGTCAAAAAATATGGTCAATATATTTGCAAAATCCTGTCAGTTTTGGAAAGCATTTAAATAAACTAAATACAAAAATGCATTACACTATTTCATGTACTGAATAATTAATCAGGGAACAAAGTATATTATAACGTTCCTTTATTTTGTAACCAGAGTTATTTTATGCTTGGGATCTTTACTGTCAATTTCCTCCATCCGTTTTTCTCACCAGAATCTAAATGAAGTTTTTATTTTGTAAAACAAACCGTGTTTTGCCTTTTGAGGCCACATTAATAGGTTGGTAGATAAGAAAAGATTTGTAGTCATCAGCCTTGCATTATAATTGCTGATAGTTGAATTCCATGCAAGTTAAGTTTTTAACCAACTTTGCATTAAATTGATCTGTGCAGCCTTTGGGCTACAAATTTATTTGAATTTAAATTTTACATTTGAACTTAATTGCTATCATGCCACAAGTGGTTGACTGAGTCATAAGCACAAAGTGTGCCTTCTGTTCTGTACATCTAAACTTTATAATAGAATAAAAGTATATCTTAACTTAATAAGAATATATATAAACTTTATGATAATAACATTTAAAGACATTGAAATCAGTATCTAAGTGCTTCCCATGTAGTCAAATTTTTATATATAAATTGTACTCTTACGTTTATTATAGAGTTTTTTATTACAAAAAATTCAGATTTAGGTTAGTTAGATAAAATGTTTAAGTAATGTAGAAATTTGCATAAAATTTAAAATAAGAAGTCAACTGTTATGTCAACATACTATTAATAAAAGTAATAATACTCAGTGAAGGTTATTCACATACAGCTGTTAGGTTGTAAGATTTACAAAATTTGAGAACTCTAAATTATAAGCAATATATTCCATAATCTAAGCAACATTATATTTTTTATAGTCAGACAAATTATGAAAATGTTATAAAAGCAATAATGAAACCTGATTTTTGGTCTTGATTTGAACCTATGAATTCATGCAATTACACATCCCTTTAGTTCTAATATGAGGTAAATAAGTATTTTTAGACCATGGTAATTTTGATCTCCTTAGCAAAGGAAACACCAAGAGTTTACCTCATGCTACTGAAAATGTGTTTTTTTTTTCCTTGGGGGGGGGGTGGAGTTTATAAGAATATACAGAGTTGACATATGAAAAAATGTTAAGACTCATGTGATGTAATATTAAAAGCACCAGTTTTAACTATCAAAAATTTGGCTTTTTAAAAAAAAAAATTAAATGTTGTGCTTTCCTAACACAAAAGTAACTTTAAGAAAAACACACAATTTATCTTTCCTGCCATCAAAGCTCCGATACCTATCAAATTCGTTACGTGGACAGAAATGGCGGCACGTTTGAAGCTCAGTATTTAGGGTTACCAAGGTTGTCATAATTTTTCATTTATCGCTCCAAACTGTTGCCAAACAAATTTCTTGCCAAAAAGGACTAATACTAAAGCTGTGCCATATTGTTAATGCTTTTCTAACAAGGAGGATGGCAGGTGCGACATAAACAGATGATTAAATTGAAATAAAAAAATATTGATTATCTAAGATGACAGAATAGTTTGATGCATCACCATGGTCATCAAAATTAGTAAACCACTGCTGGTGTAAGGAATATATTGTTTTCTGTGTTAACTGGAATTTATGACAATTTTTTTTCGTTTATCACGTTTAACCGGTTAATTTCATTATATTAATACTAATTTATATTTTTTAATGAATTTTTATTTCCGTTATAAATGCTTACATATTCTTATGCTTAATATATTCTTTTCTGCGCTAACTTGAATTTAATACAAATTTATATTCGTATATCACGTTTAACCGGTTAGTTTTACATCTACATGTTTATTATCTGTGAATTTTTACTATTGTATACTTAATATATTGTTTTGTCTGCTAGCTTGAATTTACATGCACTAAAAATCACGTTTACGTCTCCTTGGCGAGTAAAAATGCAACGGCGCCAACGGGTTCTCTGCGGATGAAAACCCAATCCAAACAATATTGATATTATTCTTCAGTGTTTGCTGAACTTTTATTTAGACTTATTGCAAAAACATTTAGCTTTATCGTGTTTTAAGCCCATATGTACTTTAAAAAGAGTATGTAAAGATAATTTATAATTTTGTTTAAATTCTTTGTTTAGAGCTGGTTAAGATAAAATAGTTACAAGAGGAGTGCATCACATTTCACAAACTACAAAAATCTTATATCAGAACCATACCTGGTAAGGCTGCAAGAATAAGTAACAAAAATGCGCATAAATAAATGGGCACAATACTATATGTAACCAAAAATGAGAAACAAAATGCAATTTAACATTACAACCTTACATGGGGCAGTCTATGAAGATTTGAAAACCTTTTACAGAATATCAAACTCTCAGCTTGTCTTGTTAAATTTTTTTAGAAATACACACACACACACACATATATATTATATACAGATCAAGAACACAAATCTTGGCTAAACTACGGGGGAGGAAGAAATTTCTTCTAGGCCATACAATTTTTACGCTACTATTTTCATTTTGAAAGATTACAAAAAAACTCAAATTGAAATATCCTAATCGCACAATATATTTGAATTTTTTACGTTACCACGCAGTTACGCCTGGAATTTTCAGGAATTAAAATCTAAATATCAAAGACAAAATAAACACATGGGGGGTCTAATTCATCAGATTCTCGCTAATACATATAAGCATTTAAATCTAAATTTCTCCCAAACAATTGAAAGTATGTCGTTATGATTACGTATACTATAATACCGGTAGCAACAGCAGATTTAACAATAATGAAATGGTGACATCAGATTCACAAAAGTTATATTACATAAACGAATAATAAAACTAGAAACAACATGTATGTAACACCAGTTCCGGTCTTGCAAATGAGAACATTTCCATATAATAAGCTTACCTGAAATTCTATAGTAGCTTTCACTCCTTGTTGAATATCTTCATGAAAACACTGTTTAGCATTATCTGGCAACTCAAACGTGAACTCTACAGCAGCACAATTCGAACAGACAAAAAATGCTAACGCAATATGCAAAATGTGCAACATGCTGAGAAAAAGCTTTGAAATATATTTTAAAACGAAAACATCAAACCAAATTATTCACCGGCTTGCTTAAACTTATTTAAATAGCAACACTACCTAAACGTGGCTCAACAACGTAGGATATATGACACGATGCCAGTACAAACACGCAACCTTTTATTTCAATGAAACAACAGTTTTTCGCAAGAGAAGAAGAAGAGTGAGCAGTTGAACATCGCATTAATAAAAGAATTTTCACAAACAGTCACTAATTTTACTTTAAAGAATTTAAGTGTTACTGAAATACGAACTGATCTACATGTGAATGATAATTCCCGATTCTTGAAACTAATAATGAAGGAACTTTTCTCGTCTGAAAAGAAGTATTCTTTCTGAAAAATCTATCTATCTACAGAGAAATATATCCAGGTAGAAGTGGAATAAAGAATCATTTACTAAGTTCATGTGTATATAGTAGAGTTTTAAATATTTTGCTATGAGCGATTTCATTATTAACAATATGATTTTGGATATAACTAATATATTAATTGTACATGAGAGAGTGGTGTAGTACCAGGGTGCCTGGGTATAAGGGCCCTAACACTAATCGAATAAGCACGTTGTTTCGAATTACTACAACAAGAAATAACTGAATGGGATGTATATATTTATTTAAGTATATACAAGTATATAAGTTATATTAAATACACTGCGCACAAAAAAGGGGGGAAATTCTATTTCTCCCGTTCTACTGGGGCGATTGACGAAATTACAACTTGCAATACATCAAAAAATGAAACTTGCAATACATGACACCATGAAAAAATGTCTCGAAAGCGCGACTTCGGATATGTATTATATTTATATATAGCATCATTCTAATATAGGTATTTTGACACAAAATCGGACTTTTTCTGAAATAACATACCAATTTTTTTTCCATATTTCAATTCTACGACTCAAATTACGACAAACTACCAAGTTTTGTAAAAATCACAAGAATAGTTTCTAAAAAATTAGCTCTCAAAATTTTAGATCCTCAATGTTAATTGAGTTTGGTGTATATTTATTAATCTCTCTTTTTTTATCAAACTTATTTGATTCTTTCTTTCACATTTCGAAATTCAAGTCCATTCTAGATAAAATTCACCCATTTTTTATGATTTATTTTTTTTAAAATTTTTATTTTTAAATAATTTTTATAAATTTTTCAAAAAAACGTTTTGAATTGTAATTTATAAAAATGTTACCATCATCTTAAAGTAGACGTATTTCTAAGCATACCTGCAAAAAATTGCAGATTTTTATTCAAAATTTCCGCAGATATACATGAATTTATACATTGGTGCGTTTTGAAATTTGGCACATTTGTTGAAAGCGATAAAACATCAAATATGGTTTAGACACTTTGCTAAAATTATTTGGAAGTAGAAACGATATGTCCTTTTCCCGGTCATGCACAATGTAAAAAGGTAGGATTCCGCTCTGGCATAACTGAAGGGAAAGGAAAATTGATTGCCACATATTAAGAAGTTCGCCAAGTGAATTATTCTTGGCGCAAACTAAAAAAATTTCGCCGAGATAAATTTTTGAATTTTCCCGTTAATTTCACACCAGATTTTACAAAATTTAATATCTAAGCATAATTTGAGTTGTAGAATCGAAATACGGAAAAAAATTGGTATGTTATTTCAGAAAAACTCCGATTTTTTTGTCAAAATACCTATGTTAGAAGAATGCTATATATAAATCTAATATATATCCTAAGTCGCGCTTTCGAGATATGAAAAATGCAATTTGAATTTTGTCAATCGGCCCAGTAGAACGGGAGATATAAAACTGTCCCACTTTTTGTTGCGCAGTGTACTTACGTGTATAAATTACAAGTTTTTTTAATAGGTTGAGATAAAAGTAATTATCATTTATTTACATTATAAATAGGGTGGGGCAAGAGGGGACATCTGTCCCCGGGCGCAGCATCCAAGGGGCGCAAAATTAATGCTACAAATTTTAAAATGAAATGTTTTCCATTCTTGGAACACAGAAAGGGGCACAAAATCTTTAGTTGTCCCCGGGCGCTTAAAACCTTAGCTACGCCTCTGGAGCCAAGTCTCAAGTGTGTGTATGTAATCTTGTAATCGTTGTACAACTAAACTAAAAAATACATTTTAGGAAATGGTTAGTTTAAGAAAAATTGCTATGGATACTCAGATGGTAAATATTTAACGAATTATCAGGTTTTATTACAGTTCTTAAAAAATATAGTTAATTATATCTAATTAATATCTAGTTATCTTGAACCAAATAAAAAAATCAATCAAGGAAATTTTAAACTAGCAGATTTTCCGAACAGACAAAAGAATCTGAATTAGTATAAACATAAGCAGAACAAAATTTCTAATATTAAATAAATCAAACGGAAAGCCATCAAAAATGGTGAATTTTAAATAAAAAAAATACTAATAATAAATTTAAATAAAAAGCCAAAAAATCATGAATGATAAAAATTAAATAAAGAATAGAATTAAATGATGAATACGGTATCACTTCTAATTCAAGCCTCAAAAATATTTTAAATTTGAAAAATTGAAAAAAAAATTAATAGCCGCTTTCGAATTTAAGCCCAGTTGAGTTTTAAAATTTTGAAAATAATAAAAAGTAAAAATAATTTTATAAGAGGTACTGAAATGTACCTGTTATAAAATCATCTTTAGTTTTAAAGTCTTAATTACCTAAGACTAGATCACTGGGAAGTGGTAAACCGGAAGAAATAAGTTGTTAAAATATTCATCATGCATTTAAGCTGTATTCTTATTCTAAGCCTTAACTTTTGGAAGCTTAATTAGCTTAAATTAGAAGTAATATGGTAAATAAATAATAAAATTAGTTTTAAGAAATTCCATAATGATCCAGATTTTTGTCAAACGGTCTCACGGGTCAAACAGTCTCACTGCAATCAGAGGCATAATTAAAACTCTTGAGCCTCTGCTAAAAACATTTTCTGTCCCCCCCCAATAAATTTACAGTACTAAAAAAAGGGGGGAGAAAAAAGAAAAAAAAACTATACGGTTTTAGATTTTAACTGCCGTCCAAAAGGGTTTGCTAAGGTTTTTTATGCGCTGGCTGAGCTTCCACTCTAACCACTCTTACTCAGACTAACCCTTTTTTTTTTTTTTTTGTTTTTCTTTTAGCTTTATTATTATTAAGCATCGTTTTCCGCACACTTACACCATAAGGCTCTTATTAGTACATACCAGGCTAAATCACCACTCTTTTCCATCTTGGTGAGAAAGGGAAAGCGCTGCCAATTTTGGCGCGTTTATCACAAACATTGGCTGAATGTCTGTTTTTTTTTTTTTTTTTTTTTTTTTTTTTTCAAAGATTCATTTTATAGACGCGCAGGATTCCACGCATATAAACTTTTTGGATAATTTATTAGTTCTCGAATAGTATACAGACGTTTTCACTTAAAGAAAAATTTCACGTATATTTTGTAAAACATATTCAAAATAACTTATGTTTTAGATGTTTCAGTTTAGTTAGCAGAAACGTTCATTACTGTTATATGGGGAAATAGTTAAAGTGTAAAGTGTGCAAATAAGTTTATCTTCATGATATTTTAACAAAAATTTTTAAAAAAACTGTAATTTCACACTCAAAAATAACTTTAGAACTTGTTGTGAATTAAGTATGCGGTAAAACAAGCTTACAATCACTTTCGTTTATGTAAATAATTGTGCAAGCAAGACCCTGAAGAAAATTCCTTCTTTTAAATGTATAAAATATTCCTTCTTTTAAATGTATGAAATATGAAAGAAAAAAGTACAACATTCTGAGTTTTGGATGCCTTCTCCAAATGTATTACACTAAATAAGAACTAGGAACTCATAATTAAAAGTCCTTCCCTTCTAATCATATCACCCTCGTGTAGCTTTGTATTTGTAATACTTGCTAAAAAACCCAATTCTTACGTAAATTAAAAAACACTTATTGCATAAAAAATAATAAATTTGACTGCATAAGAATTAATTTCTGTAATTTGAATTATGTTACAAAATAATTTATAGTTTATATATTTTATACAAAAAATTTCGATAAAACTTGTCCTTTGGATGCTTTTCCCCAAATGTAATACAGATACGAACTATTAATAAAAAAGGCCTTTCCCTCCAATCCCCCTCGAGTAGCACTGTATTTGTTATACTTGCTAAAAAACCCAATTTTTACCTAAATTAGAAAAATTCATAAAAAATAATAAATTTGAATGTATAAGAATGAATTTTTGTAATTTGAGTTATGTTACAAAATAATGTATAGTTCATATATTTTATACAAATAATTTAGATAAATCATGTCCCTATTCCTTTTACAATTTAATAATGGCCCACCAGCGGCCTAGCGGTAAAGTCGCTGAACACTGGTAGTTCGGTCCGAGGTTCGAATCCCGCGAACGGGCTGGCTGCATGGGCGTTTTCGTGGTTTTCCCCATAAGTAACGTGTATACGAGCCAGTTTCCCTTAGAAAGTCCTCCACTAAGGCATCCCTCCTCTTAGGCAGATAGTCCTAGTGTGCCTTGCCGTAATTAAATAAACCAATTTAATAATGTGTGTTCAGACTTAACCACGTGTAATGTATTTCAAAGCATAAAAGAAAGCTTATTTTTGACTTTACACAGCAACAGCAGTCACATTTTTATAATTGCTAGTTATTATACATAACACTTAACTTGAAAAGCATTCTAAGAGAATTTTATCTCATTTGACATTGAAAACATTAAAAAAAAAAAAAAAAAAAACTACAAAATTCGAGCAAAATTACCATTATGATGAATGGGTTTTGACACGATCGGATATAAATATTTTGTAATTACATCGTAAATATACATGTAAATATACATATAAATGTATATATTTTCTTTATCTACAATATTTCAGAGTCCTAAGTATGTGAAAAGAATACATTTTCAAACAACATTTCCTTCTGAAAGGAATTAGGTGTGTGGTGTATTTAATTACGGCAAAGCACACTAGGGCTATCTGCCAAAGGGGAGGGATGCCTTTCGTGGAGGACTTTCTAAGGGAAACTGGCTCGTATACACGTTACACATGGGGAAAACCACGAAAACACCCATGCAGCCAGCCCGTTCGCGGGACT